TATACTCTGCACTACAGGTGGTCACATAGTGTGTTTTCCGAAGCTACAGAAGCCCCCCAAGTGTCAAAGTGCGCAAAGGTAACCCGGCGAATCGAACCCGCTTGGTTTCTGAAACGGTTACGATCAGGTTGCAGTGACATCCAAGAAACTGAATCCAGGTGTTGTCAGGGGAACCAACTTTCAACAATTCCCATCCGGAAACCGTAACCACATCGGTCTGGGTGTGGTAGAATGTGGTAGTACGTTTTGGCTCAGTTTGTTCCGTCAGGTGCTTACCATAACACACATTTGTAACGCATGGTAACATCATCGCCTAATCCTAATGAGGTGTCAATTAATGACCTGTGGGTCATGAGTTCCTCAATTGTAAGTACAATGTCTAGTACCGACGGTTTATTATCATCTATCTATCTGGTGGGTTAGATGATGTGATTGCACAGTGGAATAGTTGCGATAAGGTCTCGATGGTCGACGTCGGATGCTTCGCTGGGGGCGCCAAGGCCTACAGGTCGTGTACGTTAAAATCGCTTGAGATTATAACGTTGTTGAAAATTGGAAGTAAGCTTATTGCCAATGCCGATATTACTTGGAAATCAATCTCTGGAGTGGACATTTGCGGGGGGGCGATAAACAACTGCCCCGAAGCAGTTGTCATCTGAGAAATACACGGCACTATAGCGAATCGGTCACCGTGTCTCCGGATCACCCAGTGATTCGCATTGTAAGTCCTTGAGCTAGTAGAGAATTACGCTCCTCCTCTGCTGTTACGATCGTTACGGAATAGCGACATCCCCTGAATCTCTATATTGCCATCCGTAGCATTTGAGCGCAATCAAGTCTCGGTTACGGTGATGAGATGCCAAGCATTTGTACGGTCTGCTGCTAGCCAGTTTTGCCAGCATTATTAGTGACAAGGCATTTAGTAACGCCTTTTGCACAGAGGATGATATGTGGCTACAGGACTGCACAGGATGATCCTTACGTTTGTCAGATATGCTACTAGTGTGCGGTTTGAATAGGGTCTCATTTTCATTTGTCTGCTGCTATGATGCTTTAGATCGGACAACGGTGTCATTTGCTGCTTTGAACCCGTTGACAGTCTGTTCCGAAAGGAGTGCCAGCGTTCCAGTAGCTCAAGTGCTATGCGCCTAGTTTTAAGCACCAGGTTCACCATCCTTGGAGTGCAGTCGTTGCAGCTTGCAGATCTTCGCAGCCTTGAGTGAGAAGCTGCTACAACGCAGTTGAAGAGTAGTCGCACAAATATAGCGCCCCTGCTCTTGGCCGTCAGTACCTACTTCGCATTCATCTTGCTCATAAGACTAGGCGGCGCCATGGACTAAGGCGGTTGTAACCACGGATTCTACACAGTGTTCTTGGAAGTTCAGCTTTAGCCGCTCCACGGAATTTCTGGTAAGATACTAATCAAACAAAATCCGTTCCGGCGTCTAGCTGAGGAATGCAAAATGGCTTCCACCGCCTCGATAGAGTTGAACACAATCCGAAGAAACCTGGCTTCACCATGATGATTGGAATTACCTTGACTTGTGGTCCTCGTCAGATGTGTGGGCTTAGTGGTAACATTGTGCAGGTTACCTATGGTATTTCATTGTTTCGGATCGTTCATCTGACTTCCTTCTAATAAATTCGACCCTGCTCCCTAAATATTGCTACAACTTATGTATGGGATATGCCGTTGTTTCTGAGTGTCTTTCAGAGGAGTATGGGTCCTGTTTGTAAGGCCGGGCAATTCGCTACGCACTAGCTTACTATTAATCTTGGGTGTGGCAGCAGAAACTGCAGTGGCTGGTTGGAGTGCTCTTAGATGCAACCACTGTCTAGCTGTCACTGGTGTTAGCTTGCTTCCTGAATTTCGATGAAGCTTGATGGTATAAAGCGGGCTTGTGGAAACTTGTTACAAATATGCTAGACGTGAAGATTTCGGAAATAATGGGCACCTGAGACTAGTAGCAACAGCATTGCTTAACATGTTTGCATATGTTATTTTGTTAGTGGAATGCCCAAACTAGTGCGTTTGGTTGTAAGTGGTGTTCAGTGGAGAGGCTTGGATCACACATTATGCTATGTTTGCTCCTACTGAAGGTAGTTTGGTATTCAATGGTTGCCCCACCATTTCTGGGACAGTACCATTATGGTCCTAACTAACAAGGCGATATTACACTTCCACATAGATAAAATGACTGCCCTTCTGTTGAGCAGCCCCAATTCGCTTGGCATCATGCTTCTGCATTTGGCAGGGAGATGGATGGGAAGTTATAACATGAAAGCCTAGTTTTGACGTTCTTGCCGTACGTTTCGCGGGTGCCTTTAAGCACAGCGGATCAGCCACTCACGCCCATAAGGTGACGCAAACTTTCTACTAAAGATTAGTTCACTCCTGACCCAAATCACTTGTCAGACTCTTCGTTCAGCGCCAAGGTCAGTTTACCATTGCAGGTGGATGTCTCAATCTCGGTAGCGCACAGATTGCCGGTTTTAGCGATCAGTCATCGCGCGGTTTGTGTGAACACACCCACAAGAAAACGCGGAGTGCATTGATCGGCTTATCTTACACGGGGGAACCAACTAGGCAGTGACAAGCACTGACTTCCAGGCAATATTTAATGGAGGACGAAATCAAACTCTCACCTAGCTTTTCGTGCTGCAGCCTGCGGATACGGTTGCAAGATTGCTTGAGTGCCTTTCGTTTTGTCTTCCGAAGGAGACAAAATTTATTGGTGAACAGTGTTGTGGTGATATAGCTATACGCCCAGGCTGCGACAAAAGATGTGCTCATTGTTAACTGGAGCAACATTGTGATCCAAACAATTTGGATCCAAATGTGGCGTGCACTGAATAGCGCCTGTCGAATTCGTTGGAATGTGTGTACGCACAGGAACGCGTGACGATAACTGGCGTAACAACTTTCGATGCGGTCGGAGCGCCGATAGATTGCGGCCACGGTCAACGGTCGTTGACAACGGTTGTCTGCGGAGGATAGCTCTTGTGTCATGGGAACACCCACTTTACAACGACAATATTAGCCGTCGTGCTTTGATTAACACATGGTCCCTCACCTCAAACTAGTATCGCCGCACCAATGTCCTACGGATGCCGTGCGAGCGAGTACCACCACTCTACGTACGCTCGCGCAGATCCGCAATGGAAGAAATCGCACAGTGGTCAATCTACCACATGGCGACAAACCATCAAAATGCTGACTTCCATTCATAATGTTGTCACTCCCGTACGTCTTCCGGGCTTGATAGCCATAGATGAATAGCGCCGCTGGTTGGAAACCCCTGAGGGAGGAATTGAGCTCAATGGAAGATTAGTATGGAATTTTGCACTTATTCTTCTGATCAGCAGCGTAAGTACTAAGCTGACAAAATGACAAAACTGCGTGGGAAGTATTTTAAATAGCACTATTTTCCTCTTTTCTTCCTTTTGCTTCCCGTACGTACCGCGCAGATTATTTCTATGATTTTCGAGGGCTTTATATCTATCTTTTCGTGAATTACTGCTGCATATAATATATATATATATATATATATATATATGTGTGTGTTTAAATTTCACCCCCAAATAGTACAGGCGACAGTGAGCATTTATTGACCTTCAAAGAGTAGCGTATTGATAGAGTTAATGCGCATCTGCATACTTCACAGGCTATGCGCTATCGGAATTGCTTCAAATCTTCTTCACATCTGCTCAAAACAATAAATGCTTCTATTTCTTCAAATATTGCTGAGCATGAAGTTTACACATCTTGATTATCATGAGTGGCCGGATTTCAGTTGTAATTTTAAGACTCATTCCAGTATTTTACAAGTGAAATAACGCATACTAGTCCGGAAAAGCAACAGACGTGTTTCGCCCTATTGGGGCTAGTTATTGGTACGCATTTCCTCGGTCCTCTACAGAGGATCGAACCCATGACAGCCAGAGACGACTGCCAGCTAGCCAGCAGCTTAAGCCACTGATATATGGGGTACATTGGAAAGGCTATCTATTTTGCATGCTAACTGGGATATAGCACGACCTATCTTCCACTGTCACGGACAGTGGCTATCCGGCAAGGCCATGACGTCCTCTCATTAGACGCCATATCCATAGCATTTGAAACTAGGGGAAGCAATATATTTTATATGACTCAGGAGTAGCCGGATTTTAGTTGTAAGTTTAAGGCTTTTACCCCGGTAGTTCACAAGATATATAGCATAGCCTAGTCCAGAAGCGCACCAGACGCCTTCCGCCCTATCGGGGCTCGTCAGCAATGCGCATTCCCTCGGTCCCCTACTGGGTATCGAGCCCATGACCACTAGAGGCAGATGACAACTAGCCTCGTCGGCTAACCGCAACCCGTGACAGTGGAAGATAGGTCGTGCTATATCCTATTTAGCTTGCAAAGTATATAGTCCAGCCAACGTTCCCTGGCTCAGTGGCTTAAGCTTCTGGCTAGTTGGCATCTGCCTCTAGCGGTCATGGGTTCGATCCCCAGTAGGGAACCGAGGGAATGTGCACCACTAACGAGCACCAATAGGGCGACACGCGTCTGGTGCTTTTCCGGACTAGGCTGGTCTATATATCTTGTGAACTACTGGGATGAAAGTCTTAAAATTACATCTTGATTTGCTAGCATGATTTTTACACCCTGAGTAATTAATCCCTGTCCAACGTAAATCCTCGGGCGCAACTCCGTTTTAAGTCGCATCCCATGCACATGACGTACTGGTCTTTCGTCCACACAACATGACCGAAATTATTCTTTACAGCGGAACTTGAATAGACACCTCGATTTTATTGGTGGGAATCGGAATGTGCGTAGTATAGATTTGTGTGTTTCCGTTTAGCTTCTGGACAATGAGAAATTCTTTCACCATTCCTTATATTTTCAATGTACGCTGATCGCGGTTACCATATTGCTTCGTGACTTAACAACGACATTTATCTTTGTTGTCGGGTACATTGTGATAGACTTACTTCACTTTCTTCTTTCACAGGGAGTTAGCCTTTTTTTACCCTGACTACAATCCACAAATTGTTCGGGTTAGGCGACGGAAAGAAGTCGTTCATCTTACTCCTAGCTCCAGCGAATCAGACCAACAGATTCCCAAAGACCAATTACCAGATGCTTTTCATCCAGAAATAGAAAGAACTGTTGCTCTGTTACGCCCCCAGGCTTACGCCATTCACAAGGACGCCATTATGGAAAGAATCAAGGAGGCAGGCTTTGTGATTGCGGCGCAGAAGGAAGTAAAGCTGAGCAAAGAACAAGCTGAGGAGTATTACAGCGAGCACCGGGATGAACCTTATTTTGGTGAAATAACTACAGTCATGAGTAGTGGACCAATTTTGGCCCTTCTGCTCACCCGACAAGTAAGTTCAATGTAAAATTGTGTACACCCCTCATCACAATGTCGATACATCCCCAGTTGTCCTAAATCAGATGCTGACGTCTGTTACGATGAGTTTACGGCTGCTGTTATTGGGAAAATTGACCAGTCTTCGTGTGTATTTTCAGGTGATTTCCATAGATTGGACACCACATTCTTCACAACTCTCGGTCCAGAGAATATTGTAGATTGTCCCACCAGGTTAGAGGAAACCTTGGATTTAGTATTTGTCACCAGTTTCGGTCTGCAATCGGGCACCACTTGGCAGTTCTGATCATTCAATAGTCAAGCTATCTCCTGTTGTCTATGGTAAGACAAACTAAGATAATGCCAGTCCATCTTCACACGTGCTGGTCGCTTTTCTTCACCCCATCTCAAGCAACTTCGCAGACTCAAGGAAAGAGCTTTCAAGAGCATTGATCGTATACTAGTAAAGTCCCTTTCACCATGTGTAAAAGAGGAAGTTCGCCACCTCAATAATGTCTATATCCAAACAATTCTGGGAAACAACTGTTGTCGTCAGGTTTGGCAGATGATGGAATACCTCAGCAGAGTCACTCGTTAAAACACAAATTTTGATATAGAAGAAGAACTGGATCGCAATTTCTGCTGCACTAGCAGTGATTCGTCCTCCGTCGCAGTAGCTGCGCTGTTTCGGAGGTATACGGGTGCACTGAATCCTGTCAACGTCGTATCACAGGAAGCTAAATCAGCTACACTCAGGCAAAACATGCGGACCTGACAGGCTGTCCCTCGTCGTCCGCAAGCAGTGTACCGATTCTGTCGCAACAAAACTAGACGTTAACGTGTTGCCATGGTTTGTGTATATCCTTGAACCATTGAGCTATACTGATTCCTCCGGGCGCCTTGAGAGCTTTTCCTACCACGTTAGTCAATGGTTAGAGGTCAAATCAACTCAGTGCACTTGTCCTCCAGGTTGGGGGATTGAAATGAGACGACATCCATTTCTGTAAAACTAAATCATTGCCACCTCCCCATTGACATGCGGACAGGCTTTTGAGCCAAAGGTTTCGGATGAGGACCCTAATCGTCCTCCTGTCTGGGGCCGGGCACCCTGGCAGTATTTCAGCCCAAATACAACTACAACGATTTCCCCAAACCCTAACTTCATCCTGCATCGGCGGTTGAGCAGATTATTAAGGGTCGCCTTATCTGCTATATACAGCAAGCTGGATAAGCAAAAACATGCTACTGTTGGCACCTCCCTTCCTTCTTTTCCACATCTTTCTCTTACTCCCATCCGAACCCCATTACTAACCTACTTTCTATAATCCCCACCTTAATTGACAGCAACCGAACTGCAACTGGCGTAAAACCATGTGCAGCCACATTCCCGCGACACCCACCGGACGCCTATCAGCAATAGTCCCTTATAAGTCCAGGCCTCCCTGTTCCCATGGTAGCGTCCAACGTTCGCACTCTAAGACAAATAGGTCAACAGGCTGCACTCACACGCACCTTGGACACACTGGGTATTGATGTATGTTGTGTGTCCGAAACTAGGATTAATGACCCTAACGGGGTTATTGAATTGACTGCACCCTGCTTATCCTCTCGTTATTGGTTGCACGCATCCGGAGATGCCGATGCAGCACTCAAGGGTCAAGCTGGGGTACGTGTCATTCTCAGCTCAAACGCGGAGCCATTATTGGTTGATTGGATTCTGGTGAGCAGCCGTTTATGTGCAGCTCGTTTGAGGAAGTTACCTAAGGTTGATTCACAAAGTAGTAGAAAACGTTGTTTGTTTGTGATTTCCGCTTCTGCTCCCACCGACTGCAGTTCAGATGCTACCAAGGACACATTCTGTCACGGACAGAGCGCGCTACTTACGCAGTGCTAACACTGCCGATATTTTAATAATTCCAGGGGACATGAACGCACAAGTAGGGTGCCTGAGCTCTTCAGAAGCTCATTTAGATGTGAATTATGGGTTTAACTCCGGACAGACTGACAACGGAAAGCGTCTGCTGCACCTGTGTGCGGCACACCAGTTGGAGCTTAGTAGCACCGCTTTTAGACACAATGGGCTCCGAAGTGCCACTTGGCGTTCTGTTGTAGCTGGTCAGTAATAAACGCAAAGTGACCACGTTGCGATTAGTTACAGGTGGCGTGGTTCCATTCTGGATTGCTTACCTTTCTTGTTTATCTGCGTCGACTCTGATCATGCTTTAGTACGCTATCGTTTCTCCATGAACTTTACCAGGATGCGCACCAAGCGACTCCAGCAATTGCCAACTGAGAATTTGTCACAACCTTCTATCAGGCAAGTATACTAGGATGTCCTGCGTACCGAATTTTCGCTCTCTTGACCTAATGACACTGAGCTTCAGTGGAATAGGACCTACGGCGTCATACAGGACGCAGGAGCATCTGGTTGCATCACTACCAGTCGTCATCGCACCAGTCACTGGATATCCGAGAGGCCGGTGAACCTGTTGTAATTCAGACGGAACCTCACGGCTTGCTCTGAGCACAATGTGATCAGACGGACTCTTAGGCGTGAACTAAAGCGGAGCTTACGTGGACCAATCGGGCTCAAGAAATGGAGGACGCAGAAGCAGTAGGCAATTACCGCAAACTCTCCCAGCTGATCCGCACCACACTGGTCTCAGGAAACCAGGCGTCAGTGAGACAATCACAGACAGCTCAGGGGCACTGATAGACAATAAGGAATGCCGTATGGCGGAACACTTTCAAGATCAGTTCAATTGGCCCTCTGCGCCCGGACCTCTGCTTACTCAGATGATGCAGGACGAGCCATGGACGGTTAGTTTAGAGCCTCCGTCGGAGGTCGAGGTCCGAAAAGGGGTCACAGCTCTCAACCGTTTTCTTGCTGATGTCCCGGATTCCCTCCAACGTGCACTATTTAAGGATGGAGAGGAGGTCTTCTGCAATGCACTGACCTACCTATACGAACTTATCTGGAAGGAAGTGTCCAGTCCAAGTGGAGTGAATCGGTTATAGTGGCAATATACATGAAGGACAGTCGCACAGCCTGTGCTAACCACAGGGATATTAGCTTAACCCCAGATGTGACAAAATTACTGGCCTCGATTCTCGTTCGTTGCCTCACTGTGGAACGAGAATCGGATTAAGGAAGAGAAGGCCGGTTTCCGTCCAGGACGTGGCTGTATAGACCATATATTCATTTTGCGGCAGATGCTAGAGCAGCGTCACGCATACCGCAGACCGACAATGGCTGTGTTACTTGCTTTCAAGAGTGCGTTCGATCCAGTCGGTCGATCGATTCTGTTCGAAATACTTGCGCAGAAAGGTGTTCCCACGAAATATGTGAACATCCTTCGTGCTCTATACTCGAACACTACAGGCCGCGTCAGGGTCTACGGTGGCTTATCGGATAACTTTCCGATCACAAGTGGCGTTCGTCAGGGTTGTCCAACTTCCCAATTTTTGTTTAACTTTGTAGTGGACTCAATCCTGGAGTGTTTCCTTGCGAAATCTCACGATGTAGGCGTTAAAGTGCTACTTGGTGAAACATTAGTTGATCTTGATTATAAGGACGATATCGTCTTGCTTTTCGACGATGCTGCAGCGGCACAATCAAACCTGAATAGCCTGTCCAGAGTGGTCCCATTATTTGGGATGCGCTTCGCACCTTCAAAATACAAAGTGTTGCTGCAGGACCACCAGCCACTTTATGAGCCCTTGACCCTTGATAACGAGGAACTGGAAGTGCTTGATCAATTCACTTATTTTGGCAGCTGCATCAGCAACGATGGGCGCCTAGAAACTGACGTCAGCTCACGTATTGCAAAGGCCATAGCTGACTGCTTGATCCTCCGGCATCTTTGGCGACAGAAGGGAGTTTCCCTCCGTCTGAAAGGCCGTGTATACAAGGCCACAGTGAGGGCCGTTCTGCTCTTTGGTAGTGAGACTTGGTTCCTTCGGTCTGAAGACCTGAAGCGCCTTCAAATCTTTGATTATCGTTGTTTGCGAAGCATTGCTGGTGTCGGATGGCACCAGCGTGTCCGCAACGATGATGTGCGTAGGCGAGTACTCGGTGGTGATAATCATGCTAGCTCCCTAGAACAACAGGTAGCACTGAATAAGTTGCGTTGGCTCGGGCACGTGCTACGTATGCCTGGTCACCGCTTTCCGATGAGGGCCTTGTTCATTCTACCAGGTGTAGGATGGCGCAAGGCTCGAGGTGGACAGAAGTTGACTTGGCAGCAGGAAATGAAGTCACTGACGACCAAACTCGGTGCCGTTGGTCCGTCTCGCCTTCCGGGTTGGAGTCCACGTGACTTGCCTTGTGTTTGGCTCGAAACTTTACAGGACATGGCTCGCACCTGACACCAGTGGCGCGTCTGTTGCCGTCTCCTAATCGGATCGCCTGTTTAAAGTGTGTTTGGTACTGAGTTATCTGCGGGATAATGGCTGATTTTGTCGCGTGGCAGTGAAAGCCGCAAGGAAGCTGTCTCGCTGATGCCGCCTTATCTTTGCACGATAGCCAGCTCTTTGTGACGATACGTTGTTAACACAAGGTGTAGACGCCTTGACCCTGAATGTCTGCTTAAGGCATTAATGTTTTCCGGGAAGTCCCCCTTCTCTCCCTCTTATTATTCTTTATTACGTACGTCATCATGGTTGTATGGCAGCGAAGCATCAGTTCACATGGCTGATGTACTGCTGTTGATGATGATGTTGTTGAGTATACCGATTCCTTAGCCCGGTCTCTGGCCGATGTAGACGCAATGTGCTAAGAGCAAGGAAAAACCATGGATGGCTAGAAGAATGTCAGCATTACGCCGGTTCCGGAAAAAGGGATGAATAAATACCAGCCCATTGCATGTACCTCAGTGGCTTCGAAGGTTTTTTGCGAAAAGCAGTCTTGCAGAAAATGCAGGCGTGGTCTGCACGCCTGGCTTGCAATCATAAGGTCACCAGTTCGAATCCACGTAGGGACGTCGTCCGCGTGGTATATTCAGCTCACGCGCAACTGGTGGTGATCGCGCCGCTAAGACGTGCAGATGATGATTTCTCTATTTTTTGTCTAGTGCATTCAGATGTGTCGTCCCTAGACAGCAAGAACAAATCCATATGTGTTTGGTTCCTCAAGTACAATAACTCTTTCGACTGTGTAGGCCGTAAATTGCTGTTGCAAAGTCTACAAACGTCTGATATTCAACCTTCTTTGGTATGTTTGTTAAAAAATTATTTCGGCAAACGTACTCAGGTCACCCGATTTAGCGGCAAATGCTCGTCACCACTTGCCACAACATCCGGTGTCTTTCAAGGAGTTATTTTGGCACCTTGCTTGTTTTCTACTTACGTTAGTGCTATGCATGTCCCAGAAGAAACCATTCCGTTAAAATATGTAGATTGCGTTATCATTGGTGTAAATTATCAAACCTCGGACTCCTCAGGCAAGTTGCATAGTTGTTCAGATGAAATAGTGCAACGGTCAAACTCATGCTGATTGACACTTAACTACTCCAAATACAGTGTCATTCTTTTCTCTACATTAAGCAGCACGTTATCACGAATTTGTTACAGAATATCACAAACTTTGGACTGAAGTTGACAGCTTTTATGTTTGTACATCAGTCAAGTATCTTGGTGTTATGCTGAGTCATGACTTGTCGTGGTCACTCTACGTTAACCAAATATTCAACAAAGTCAGGCGACTTTCCTGTTATGTCGCTCGATTAGATTATGCTGCAAAACACGCGGTTTGTTTCTGAAGTTCCTCATTATGCATTATGCTACACTGGACTTATTGTTCTCCTGTGATTTCCCAGGCCTATTGTATAAGCTTTTCTAGCTTCTCGACGAGTCTCTGAAGCATTTGTCTGGCTGCAGTCGTGTTCCAAAACCAAGTTTAGCGAACGCAATTGTATCTACGCGCGGTAAATTCATGCACTAAACTTGTTTCAGAAATGCTCTCCTCTGGCATTAGCCACCCTCTTCACACTGCACTTTCCAAGCACACATCTACCTCGTCGACCAGACTAATGTACAGAGGTATATATGTCCTCACGAAAGATTTCTATTTGAGAAAACCGTATTATTCAAGTACTGGCCGATTAAAGCTGCCAATGAGATTATATTTTGCCTTGAACTTTTTGCTGTTGTTCTGTTGCTCTTGAATTGCCTTTTTGTTATGTCGAACAGCATGTGTGTTTACGTTGAAAATTTACCCACCACGGGTGCGTATAAGCGCATTCTTGACTTGACGACCTGAAATTTATCTACATGTACCTAGTCCAGCTTGAAGTATGTTGTCTTGGAAAGTACTTTGGTTTACTATATTTACTTTCCCCTTCAACTAAGCACCCTACTCTGCGTAAAACATCTGGTTTATCAGCTTGTTTTACTGCAAAGTGGCAAGCACTGATGCAAAGAGACATTAAATGAATCGGTGGTCCTCGATTTTTGACATTTTAGGACGCTGTGGAAACTTGGCGCAAATTATTGGGTCCCGCAGATATTGTTCAGGCTAAATCAACTGATCCCGGATCTTTGCGTGCTCAGTTTGCTCCGGATATGCCGCTGGATGAAGAAACTGAAGCCCAACCGGTAAACCTGATTCACGGATCCGCCACTGTCGACGAGGTGGATAGGGACATTCAGTTCTTCTTCCCCGTGGAACGTACAGTTGCTGCCATTAAACCGGATGCATATGAAAATCGCGATGAAATAGTTGAACGTATTAAAGCCGCTGGGTTCCAGGTATCTGCCAGCAGGGATCTACAACTCACAACTGAAATGGCTCAAGAACTGTATAGAAATGTTAAGGACAAGCCATTCTACGAAGATCTGATAAAACACATGACCAGGTAAACGTGAATGAAAAGCAGTGTGTAATTATGTGGCCGTTTTCGTTCATCCGAGGACATTTGGAACTCACTGAATTTCTAATTTCTGGACAAATCTCCACCTTTATTTCAACATGAAGTAATAATATGTTTTCTGCACCTGTGATAGTAGGTTAATTTGATCGTTATCCATGCGGAGTCCCATTTGTAGTCAAATAATTGCTGCGCAGTGGTACACACACTATGGATACTAATGAAGATTAAGAAAGCAAACTTGTAGTTACCCCATTCCATTGTTGCTTTAGAGTGCCATGTTCATGGGACACATAGTGTAGTGAGGTATATCTGTTGTCATCCCAAGTTGTGGTAACCGTAGATCATTCGCAAGAGCATTTTCATGGTACATGGTTTTCATGGTTTCATGGTTAGTAAAGGTACATTTCATAGTTTCTTCACTGTATTTATTGTTGCTTTTTTTTAGTGGCCCTACGCTATTTATGGTGGTGACTAGGCAAGATGCTGTGTCTGGCTGGCGCAAATTGATGGGTCCAACCGACCCGGATAAGGCTGCCAACGAAGTACAGGAAAGGTAATTCGTCTGCTAAAAAAATTTTTTATTGTGGTCGGAAGTAGTGCTTTTTGCTGCTAGCAACCGCTGCAGAAATATACGAGTTAACACACGCCTAGAGTCGTACTAAACTGGAGGTGCTCTGTCGATTTTGCTAACCCTGCGATTCATTTTATTATGGATGGGTTCATGAGCTTAAGTCTGTAGCAACACACTGTACATGTTGCAATCATGCAATATGGGTCGTTCAAATATTAGGCTGGCTCTACACCCGCTCGTAAGCGCAAGCAAACAGCCGGCCTTGTCATATTCCGTGTAATGGCACTTTTCAATCCATAGTCCTTAACTAGATCTGGAAAAATTGAAGCTTTACCAATGCCGCTTGCAGTTTTGGGGTGTTTAAGTTATGCACATGCTTGTTGTTAAAGGGTACGTGATTGCTAGGTCAATTGCACTACTGATAACTGTAAAACCGCCGCTTTTCAACACTTTCACACTACCCGCACGGAACACGGTCCAAGTGGGTCGACATTGCTCTTGTCGTTTAAAGAAAATTTGATAATAACGAAGAAACAGATCACCCGAGTGTTACTGTTCAACTTCAAACCATGTGATCCCTCGGGACCAGTAAAGCAACCGCCTCTTCACTCATGACATCTCACTACATCATGGTTTCGAACATACGTAATCCAAATGATCTGGATGAAGGTGCTACTGTCAATCGTAGCTTAGTCTACTCAGTGATGTGTGTCATGATTCGATAGTAACACTGGTACTTTTGTTCCATGCTCTGTCCACCGTTCCAAATGTTGCTCGCTTTTCATTCGTGTCCTAACAATAGTGGTCACATCACCGGCTGAAATCTCAACCAAACTATTATTTTGCAGCTTATTAGAACGTAAGTAAACTAATTGTTGTGCTTAATATCGCTCCTGGCAATACTGCTAGACATATATTTTGTCTGAGCACCCCAATAGCTACCGAGGTTCCTTTACCTCGGTTCACTATGCGCCGTTCTCCGAAACGCAACAAAAAAACCTGATGCAATCATATGGTCGATCTTGCTACAAAGATCAAAATATCAATTAAAAATGGACATAAATTCAACAACACGATCTGCAGCAACAAAATCAGCGAGACTCCAACTTCCCCTATAACAATCCAATCACAACAACTCACTACTACAAATTTTGTTCTTTTGCGTTTAGCACCGAGGCCAAGGGAATGAGGTAAGCCGGTGTTACACCTCTCGTCAAACGCTACGTTTTGTTAGTTATTCACTCTTTTACCTCGTTATTTGTGCAGCCGTTTGCGCCTTGATTGCTATATATATATATATATATATATATATATATATATATATATATGATTGGCAGCATCCGGTTTCGGATTGGCCTGTCACTGTGGCAAGCCACAGGACGCCTGCGCCTACAGAGGGACCATGGATTGCTTGCGCTGCACGACCCACAGCTCCAATCACACACCCCATATCCAGTGTAAACCCGAAGGAATAAGATTGGGTGGCATGTGGGTGGAAGCCGCGTTTCATCAACGGTGCCGGCCCACACTTCCTCACAGGCAAACACAAGCACCCTGTATTTGGGGAATCAATCACAAACAAGGCGGTGGCTGGACCGTAGTCCGCTCCACGCTGACTGCATGGAACCACTCTTCAAGCCTAACACGGCCACAAGTACCGTGCACCCCGTCCCCTCCAGCAACGACCAACTGTCTCCTGGAGCCAGTATGGACGAGGTAGTGGGTAATAGACAGGTAGGCACCTTGTCAACATGCACATCAAGTGCAGCCTCACCGGGGATATCAAGCAACAGCTAATCACTTGAGAGAAAGATAACAAAGAAAATAAATCGAGTAATGCAAAAGGAAAGGGTGACATATATCTTAAAGTAATGAGCACCTGAAGTAAATTGTTTACAGAAGAATGCGAGATAAGTTCACGAGGTCAGAAAGTATACCTTACGGAAATGCCACGAACACAAAAATGTTTTCGAAAAGGACTAGAAATGGCTTAAGTGACATGTGCAAGTTTATAGAAGAAAGTACTGGTAGACATTTATATGAGAAAGCAAAGCATTGGGACAAAATTGAAAACCCACCACCTGAAGTAAACAGACTTAGCACGCAAGCAAACGGTGACAATTCTTAAATCAATGAGCATATGAAAAAAGTTGTTTACAAAGGAATACGTTTATAATGAATACGAGGTAAGTTCAAGATATATATATATATATGTACATAAATAAATAAATATATGATCCATGTTCGCATACGAACTTCGTTCTCCATCACTGTTTTATGGCCCACTTTAACGATGCACTTAGACAATATAGCTGATGCTAAGTGAAAAGCGGCTTCTGTCTCCGGAGCTGAGCGCTAGTATTCACTGCGCGCAACTAACGAGTATCTTCAATTCCGGATTTGTTGTCTAAATCTGAAGTAGAAAACCGTACTGACACAGCACAGTCGAAGTGCAAAACCTATTGGAAAAATTGCCCTTGGGTGTTTAACGTTCTACTCTCATGCCAAAGGCATAGCACATTTCCCCACAACGACAGCATTCTACTCTTTGACCATCGTCCAATTCTGAGCACTGCATGCAATCATCCCGTCAGCAATGATGACGTGGGCCGAAAAATAACGGAAAAAGATAAACAGTCTAGTAGTTTGTTGCAACCAAAAGGATTAAACAAGTCTCGTTAGCTTGGGCACGCGCTAGATAGAGCCGATGAAAATCTACAAGCGGTGCCTTGTTTATTTGCCAGATAACGTGTCACACAAGCCTCAAGGTGGGCAAATGTAAACTTGACAGCAGGAAACGGTCACTGACTACAAAACTAGGTGCCGTACCACTGTCGCTATTTCCAGCCTGTAATCCACGACAACCCCCTTGGGTTTGGCCCGAGATGATAAAGCAAACGGTTCACAGCGGGCAACAATAAACAGCTCACCCGGCCAATGTCCACCCGTTTCCAATGACGCACTGTAAATTTCCGCACATTGCGCGCTCTGAGAAAACCCGAGCAATTCTAACGGTAGTCCGGATATCCAGTCGGATCTCACACGATACACCGACGCACACAATCGCGGCGTCTGTCTACCACAAATTCCATGGCGCTGCATGTTTCTCCGTGAGATGAGGAGACGCAGGTTATCCACATGTGAACAATTGATACATTCTGGTCTGTGTTTGAGGTCAAATGTGGCATGGAAACCTGGATGCCTGTGGACTCTGTACTGACCGATGTTTATCCGTAGCACTAAAGTAACTGTTACATACAGGGTCTATTGTGGTAAAATTTGAACATCGCGTTGTCGGACGAACGTACACGTGATGCACAACTGCCGCACACCTGAGCAAAACATTTTAGATATGCCCGTATTTGTATCAAAGGTACTCTTCAAACACAGTTATGGTGGGTACGCCGGTAGACTGAAAACAAGCTTCCAAAGAACCACTGTAGAAAAAAGCACCACTATCAACGAGGCCTTTCACATTAGGAATAATAACGATTGGTAGAAGAGTATTTGCTCGCTTTTAATATTTTGCTTTCGTGTTAAGTGAGCCAAGTTCTATCTGGAATTTCTCTTTCCTAAATAATCTACGATACTTAAAGATTACCCGGTTGTTTCGGTTCAGTTCAGTGCAGTTGATAACTCATGATCCGGGCACCAAAATGCCACGACTCACGTCGCCAGATTGACAATAAGGAACAATGATAAATAAATGCGGTTGGACTTAGATATGGTATTAGCAGAATGGAAGCAAGAACGAGGTGCACGAAGCTAATCGCATTGAGGCAGAAACAGTTAAACGCAAGAGAACAAATGCAGGGGCGGCAGTGACTCCGACAATGCGCCACGTTCGGTAGTGTCTCTAACCATTGGTTTGGACAAGCACGAGGCCCCATCCACGAAGACGGCAAGTACCTGCCTGACCAAGTCTCTTGGCCAATTACTTCATACTCCCATGTCACCTCGTCGATTGAACACCTCGTGGTTTCGCCCAACTTGGTGCAACCATGACGTATAATGTTCGCCGAGGAACTTGCTTAACTGGTGTGCGGAGTACATGATCTAACCAATGTTAGCGATTCAACTTACATAAATAAATAAATAGTTTATTCTCGTCATGGCGAGGCACACCATCAGGGGCGTGATCATGGTATTACAGACATGTATGATCGGCAATTGCACAAATCAGTACATTTTGACCAATAGTGTAAGGATTTCGTGAGTGTTGAGATGTAAAACTATGTGTATCTGTGTATTTGGAAGGGGACATGTTGTGTGAGTAGGTAAATGTGACTGTGCGTGCTTTTGTTCGTTGTGTTCGCCATCACAGAGAGGAATCAATGGAACGCTTTTAATCGGATGACGTTCGTGATGTGTGAATGATCCTCCGGAAAAGGGAAGAGGCAGTGATTTTATTTAGTGGCGAGTCACATCCGCCACGTCACAGTGTTGTTAGACGGATACTTGTGGATTTTTATAGGGAGAACGCTTGCCAGGCGAAATCTCACCACATCCTGGAACACTGCCGCCGAACCACTTGCTGGAACATGATTTACCCGAACCACCCAGCTGGCACCACGAGGAGGTTGTTCGGCTAGCCAGTCAACTTCAACTGGCACTGAACTGAGGCACCAGAGGGTTTCTTGCCGAAGACCAACTGGCGGACCTCAGCATTGCTCATCCTGTATTCCGCCCAGCTCGAATCACGGTGAGCTGACAAAATGACTGTCTCCACCTCGTCTGTAGACTGAAGTGCCACTTGAGATAATCTTGGTTCCCCATAGAAAGCTGAGTTAGCGTGGCGGACAATGCGAACCAATTTGGCCGGTTTAGGTGGCGTTCCCATTTCCTGACATTTATTTTCCCACTGTTTCAGCTCGTCCGACAACTTGTCCATGATCAATCTTGCTTTCGACTTAGACACATTAAAACTTCTATCTTTAGCGAGTTATACTGCTTTTCATTGTTCACAATTATAAATGGGGTGTGCTTTCTTTATCTCGCAGTGTGATTCTCGGCTTTGTGCCACGGTAGTGTTCGTGCTATTTTTAGCGATCGGGGCGGTTACGGACGTGGTGATTCTCTGAGGTTTACTTTTACGCGCAGCAACAATAGACGTGTATGTTTCAGGCTTTCTTCGGCAGCGGGTTAGCGTGTATGTAATGGTTCAGTGTGACAGTTTCACTTCTGGGAACAGTTGCTTCAGCCGCAGTTAGCTTAACTGCGATAGGCTGAGCCAGGTTGCTCCCTAGATTGTTGAATTATCTACCTGACCAAGTCTCTCGGTAATCGGGGTAGCGGGCTACAAACGTAGACATGACGGAGCAAAATATGGATCAGCCTGGTTGCACAGACTAGGCGCATTGACACGGATCGGTAAGCTTCACGGTACCCAAACGGAGTCCTCTGCTACAAACAAGAAGCTCGGTGGGAAACAGCACCATGACCAATAACTAATCTGTCTATAAATGACGTATGTGAGGCACCAGTAATCTCTTACTCACGGCTCCGGTGTGAATTGGAGAACATTTTCACCAACGGCGCCAAGATATAGGCTCTAAGCTAAGCGTCGGATACCCCCAAATTATCACGGCGTTCGGAGTGGCGCAACCTGCTGTAGAAGCAGGCAATTCTCATCGACCCATCATTGGCGCCATTCGTCCGGAGACCTATTTCTTCTTCAAGTTATGTGCGATCGATGATACATATATTTACAGAAGCAAGGTTAAATGGGCATAGATATCATGGAAGATGTTGAAAGTGTCCACCAGCATTCTGCAATACTTCGATACGTCCGCATCAATCATTGTCTAGTGTTTTGTCAGTCTAAGTCTAGCTATTTGGTCTGAAGTATCTGCATGGGAAGATGTGTGCAACAGATCCTTGTTCGTCGCTCTTGAAGTTCCTGGTGAAGGTTGCTGGAAGTTCCCGATCATCGCCAATTAATCTAGCAGAGAGGATGAGTTTGCTTGATGGGTCCAAACACAAACCGACATGTAAGACAGGATAATTTGTAAACGACTATCTGCAGCCATAGCCAATACAACCTGTACGTAGGTGATGTTTGATTCTACTCCACGCCTGACCCGGGCGGTCTGTGGGTTGATAGTATCTGACCAGTGCAGAGAAAAGCCGTGTTGCTTCAATTCAAATATCCTTCTCATTATTTTTGAGACCACTGATGGCTGGATCACAG